TTTTTATCATGCTCTATTTGTCTGTAGAAACACTTACACTGATTCTTATCATGCTCTAATTGTCTGTAGAAACACTTACCCTGATTCTTATCATGCCCTAATTGTCTGTAGAAACACTTACCCTGATTCTTATCATGTCCTAATTGTCTGTAGAAACACTTACCCTGATTCTTATCATGCTCTATTTGTCTGTAGAAACACACTGATTCTTATCATGCTCTATTTGTCAGTAGAAACACTTACCCTGATTCTTATCATGTCCTAATTGTCTGTAGAAACACTTACCCTGATTCTTATCATGCCCTAATTGTCTGTAGAAACACTTACCCTGATTCTTATCATGCCCTAATTGTCTGTAGAAACACTTACCCTGATTCTTATCATGTCCTACTTGTCTGTAGAAATACTTACCCTGATTCTTATCATGCTCTAATTGTCTGCAGAAACACTTACCCTGATTCTTATCATGCCCTATTTGTCTGTAGAAACACTTACCCTGATTCTTATCATGCCCTAATTGTCTGTAGAAACACTTACCCTGATTCTTATCATGCCCTAATTGTCTGTAGAAACACTTACCCTGATTCTTATCATGCCCTATTTGTCAGTAGAAACACTTACCCTGATCCTTATCATGCTCTAATTGTCTGTAGAAACACTTACCCTGATTCTTATCATGCACTATTTGTCTATAGAAACACTTACCCTATTTTGTCTGTAGAAACACTTACCCTGATTCTTATCATGCCCTAATTGTCTGTAGAAACACTTACCCTGATTCTTATCATGCACTATTTGTCTATAGAAACACTTACCCTGATTCTTATCATGCCCTACTTGTCTGTAGAAACACTTACCCTGATTCTTATCATGCCCTAATTGTCTGTAGAAACACTTACCCTGATTCTTATCATGCCCTAATTGTCTGTAGAAACACTTACCCTGATTCTTATCATGCCCTAATTGTCTGTAGAAACACTTGCTGATTCTTATCATGCACTATTTGTCTATAGAAACACTTACCCTGATTCTTATCATGCCCTAATTGTCTGTAGAAACACTTACCCTGATTCTTATCATGTCCTACTTGTCTGTAGAAACACTTACCCTGATCCCTATCATGCCCTTTTTGTCTGTAGAAACACTTACCCTGATTCTTATCATGTCCTATTTTTCTGTAGAAACACTTACCCTGATTCTTATCATGCCCTATTTGTCTGTAGAAACACTTACCCTGATTCTTATCATGCTCTAATTGTCTGTAGAAACACTTACACTGATTCTTATCATGCTCTAATTGTCTGTAGAAACACTTACCCTGATTCTTATCATGCTCTAATTGTCTGTAGAAACACTAACCCTGATTCTTATCATGCCCTAATTGTCTGTAGAAACACTTACCCTGATTCTTATCATGTCCTACTTGTCTGTAGAAACACTTACCCTGATTCTTATCATGCTCTAATTGTCTGTAGAAACACTTACACTGATTCTTATCATGCTCTAATTGTCTGTAGAAACACTTACCCTGATTCTTATCATGCTCTAATTGTCTGTAGAAACACTAACCCTGATTCTTATCATGCCCTAATTGTCTGTAGAAACACTTACCCTGATTCTTATCATGTCCTACTTGTCTGTAGAAACACTTACCCTGATTCTTATCATGCTCTAATTGTCTGTAGAAACACTTACCCTGATTCTTATCATGCCCTATTTGTCTGTAGAAACACTTACTTTGATTCTTATCATGTCCTACTTGTCTGTAGAAACACTTACCCTGATTCTTATCATGCCCTAATTGTCTGTAGAAACACTTACCCTGATTCTTATCATGCTCTATTTGTCTGTAGAAACACTTACACTGATTCTTATCATGCTCTAATTGTCTGTAGAAACACTTACCCTGATTCCTATCATTCTCTATTTGTCTGTAGAAACACTTACACTGATTCTTATCATGCTCTATTTGTCTGTAGAAACACTTACCCTGATTCTTATCATGCTCTATTTGTCTGTAGAAACACTTACCCTGATTCTTATCATGCTCTATTTGTCTGTAGAAACACACTGATTCTTATCATGCTCTATTTGTCAGTAGAAACACTTACCCTGATCCTTATCATGCCCTAATTGTCTGTAGAAGCACTTACCCTGATTCTTATCATGCCCTAATTGTCTGTAGAAACACTTACCCTGATTCTTATCATGCCCTAATTGTCTGTAGAAACACTTACCCTGATCCCTATCATGCCCTTTTTGTCTGTAGAAACACTTACCCTGATTCTTATCATGTCCTATTTGTCTGTAGAAACACTTACCCTGATTCTTATCATCATTGTCTGTAGAAACACTTACTACTTGTCATGCCCTACTTGTCTGTAGAAACACTTACCCTGATTCTTATCATGCTCTAATTGTCTGTAGAAACACTAACCCTGATTCTTATCATGCCCTAATTGTCTGTAGAAACACTTACCCTGATTCTTATCATGTCCTACTTGTCTGTAGAAACACTTACCCTGATTCTTATCATGCTCTAATTGTCTGTAGAAACACTTACCCTGATTCTTATCATGCCCTATTTGTCTGTAGAAACACTTACCCTGATTCTTATCATGCTCTATTTGTCTGTAGAAACACACTGATTCTTATCATGCTCTATTTGTCAGTAGAAACACTTACCCTGATCCTTATCATGCCCTAATTGTCTGTAGAAACACTTACCCTGATTCTTATCATGCTCTAATTGTCTGTAGAAACACTTACCCTGATTCTTATCATGCTCTAATTGTCTGTAGAAACACTTACCCTGATTCTTATCATGCTCTAATTGTCTGTAGAAACACTTACCCTGATTCTTATCATGCCCTAATTGTCTGTAGAAACACTTACCCTGATCCCTATCATGCCCTTTTTGTCTGTAGAAACACTTACCCTGATTCTTATCATGTCCTATTTGTCTGTAGAAACACTTACCCTGATTCTTATCATGTCCTACTTGTCTGTAGAAACACTTACCCTGATCCTTATCATGCCCTTTTTGTCTGTAGAAACACTTACCCTGATTCTTATCATGTCCTATTTGTCTGTAGAAACACTTACCCTGATTCTTATCATGCCCTATTTGTCTGTAGAAACACTTACCCTGATTCTTATCATGCCCTATTTGTCTGTAGAAACACTTACCCTGATTCTTATCATGCTCTAATTGTCTGTAAACACTTAAACACTTATACCCTATTTTCTTATCATCATGCTCTACTTACCCTGATTCTTTGTCTGTAGAAACACTTACCCTGATTCTTATCATGCTCTAATTGTCTGTAGAAACACTTACACTGATTCTTAACATGCTCTAATTGTCTGTAGAAACACTTACCCTGATTCTTATCATGTCCTAATTGTCTGTAGAAACACTTACCCTGATTCTTATCATGCCCTAATTGTCTGTAGAAACACTTACCCTGATTCTTATCATGCCCTAATTGTCTGTAGAAACACTTACCCTAATTCTTATCATGCTCTAATTGTCTGTAGAAACACTTACCCTGATTCTTATCATGCTCTAATTGTCTGTAGAAACACTTACCCTGATTCTTATCATGTCCTAATTATCTGTAGAAACACTTACCCTGATTCTTATCATGCTCTAATTGTCTGTAGAAACACTTACCCTGATTCTTATCATGCTCTAATTGTCTGTAGAAACACTTACCCTGATTCTTATCATGCCCTATAGAAACACTTACCCTGATTCTTATCATGCTCTAATTGTCTGTAGAAACACTTACCCTGATTCTTATCATGCCCTATTTGTCTGTAGAAACACTTACCCTGATTCTTATCATGCCCTAATTGTCTGTAGAAACACTTACCCTGATTCTTATCATGTCCTAATTGTCTGTAGAAACACTTACCCTGATTCTTATCATGTCCTAATTGTCTGTAGAAACACTTACCCTGATTCTTATCATGCCCTAATTGTCTGTAGAAACACTTACCCTGATTCTTATCATGCCCTAATTGTCTGTAGAAACACTTACCCTGATTCTTATCATGTCCTACTTGTCTGTAGAAATACTTACCCTGATTCTTATCATGCTCTAATTGTCTGTAGAAACACTTACCCCGATTCTTATCATGCCCTATTTGTCTGTAGAAACACTTACCCTGATTCTTATCATGCCCTAATTGTCTGTAGAAACACTTACCCTGATTCTTATCATGCCCTAATTGTTTGTAGAAACACTTACCCTGATTCTTATCATGCCCTAATTGTCTGTAGAAACACTTACCCTGATTCTTATCATGTCCTACTTGTCTGTAGAAACACTTACCCTGATTCTTATCATGCTCTAATTGTCTGTAGAAACACTTACCATGATTCTTATCATGCCCTATTTGTCTGTAGAAACACTTACCCTGATTCTTATCATGCCCTAATTGTCTGTAGAAACACTTACCCTGATTCTTATCATGCCCTAATTGTCTGTAGAAACACTTACCCTGATTCTTATCATGCCCTAATTGTCTGTAGAAACACTTACCCTGATTCTTATCATGTCCTACTTGTCTGTAGAAACACTTACCCTGATTCTTATCATGCTCTAATTCTGTTGAAACACTTACACTGATTCTTATCATGTCCTACTTGTCAGTAGAAACACTTACACTGATTCTTATCATGCCCTAATTGTCTGTAGAAACACTTACACTGATTCTTATCATGCCCTAATTGTCTGTAGAAACACTTACCCTGATTCTTATCATGTCCTACTTGTCTGTAAAAACACTTACCCTGATTCTTATCATGTCCTACTTGTCTGTAGAAACACTTACCCTGATTCTTATCATGCTCTAATTGTCTGTAGAAACACTTACCCTGATTCTTATCATGTCCTACTTGTCTGTAGAAACACTTACCCTGATTCTTATCATGCCCTAATTGTCTGTAGAAACACTTACCCTGATTCTTATCATGCCCTAATTGTCTGTAGACTGCTGTGGAGGATCCTGCAGATAACAGTCTTCCCCGATGACATCTGCAAGGCTCGACGACTGGAAAAGTTTCAAGATCAGGCTGATATGTTGACACCAGAATCCACTGAAGGTCTTAGAAGTGATGATAATTCTAAAGGGGGTATTGGAGCAAAGGTTTTGATTTCACATTCTGTGTCGGATGGGGAGCTGTTTTATAAGAATGGCTTGGCAGAGCGGATGTGGTCTGAGCAAGATTATCATCAAGATGGGTTGGCTCAGACACAGATTGATAGACATCAACAGGGGGATATGGATGCTTGGGAGGAAGATGGGAAATCCGTGGCCTCATCAGTGTTTTGTGAGATGTCCTTCGATGAGTTGGAGGGGATGAAGAGTAAAGCCATCAGTGTCAACAAAAATGTTTGTTAAACTTCTATAAACTTTGAAATATTTAGAGTCAGAAGGATTTTTGTCATTGCACTGGGTATTTCAAAAGCATGACAACAGAGATAAGATGTCTTAGAGAGCTGCCAGTGTAACAATAGATGGAGACTGAAACCAGTCATATAGTTCACTAAAAAAACAACAGATGAGATGGTTTGGCCATCTGATGAGAATGCCCTGCTACCAGCTGTCACAGAGAGTCACACTGATGAAATAAAAAGTACCCAAAGCAAGGGGAAAACCATACATAGTATATAACAGTGGCATCAAGAAGAGCATTAAGCAAATGAAGACCAACTTATACAATGTACTGGAAAATGTGCACAGAAGATCATTATATATCCCCCCCCCCCCCCCCCCCCGCCCCCCCCCCCCCCCCCCCCTCCCCCCCCCCCCCCCCCAATGCTTGGATGAAGTAAACAAGAGAAGAGAAGAAGAAACAGAGGAACTGCATTTTTTTCCTGTACTGCTGAGTTTTTCTTCCCAGAATGGCAAACCTTCCGCCGAGGGTGTCACACAAATTATGAGCTACATAGCTCCAGCAACAATCCCCCAGGGACCGAATCACCATAAAAATTGCAACCATAGCCTGACTGCAGTATCCAGTAAACAAACTCACGCCATCAGAGTGCATAGCAAAAAGCTTAACCCCTTAGTCATGAAGAACTGGTATAGAGAGACCGTTAACCAAAATAAATGCTTGCTTGCTTGCTTGCTTCTTGAAAAAACAAAAAGAATAATTTGATATGTTCAGGCTTTTTAGCTATAAGGCTGCTGCCTATATTTGTGACCTTTATTAAGTTTGATTTGCTTGAATATGGTTTCCTTCGGTTCCATTTGGTTATGTTGTTCTAAACGGTTTGACTGATGTTGTTTCTTCCTTGTATAAAGTTGTACCAAAATAAATGATCTTAATTAAACTGAATAGAGGGCGATAACCCTGAAATAGGAAAGCCCAGAACTCTCAGAAGACTAGTAACCTATTCACCCCATGAATACTTTAAAAAAAGGGGCAGGAACCTGAAAGAATTTCTGGAAAAGTCCTTTAGAAATAATAATAGTAATAATAATTTTTATTGTATTTTTTTTTTACATTTATTTTTTCTACATTTGTAAATTAAAAAAAAATTTTAATATATAAAATTGTAAACAGTAAACACTAACAAAGGTCACTAGTAAATGTTTTACAGGTTTTTTTATCTGCATTTGTACATCGTCTATTTTTTTTTTAAAGAGTGGTTTGTGTTTCTTAAGAAATGTGGCCTTAGGTCTTGTTCCAGAAATTGAGTTTTACATGCACATCTCTTTTTTTACTATTCAGTCTTAATTGTATGCAAACTGTTGATTCCTCCTCTCAGGCAGATGCCCTTCAACTTCGAAGGAAACACCCCAAATTAGTTGTATTATACGAGATGCTTGTAAACGGGCAGCAGATCTTTTTTGTTTGTTTTTTGTTTTAAAGTCTCTGAAAAATGGTGCACTGGGGCCCACATAGGAACAAACTCAACTGAAATTAGGGATCCAAAACTGAAATAGAGGATCATAAAGCTAAATAAAAAGTTAGTTATGTATTCTTTACTGGACGTTGAATTAACACCAGCATTTTTTTTTTTACTGTTGTTGTTTATGTAGGCAAATTTTATGTTCAGTAGTTTGCCATTGCTTTCTGAATGATCAGCTCTCGGTACACTATCGAAACCAATGCAAGACGTTCTGCTTGCCAGATCCCCTGCAGCTGGGATGGAACCCAGCACACTAACATTACAAAGTGTAAATAGAAGATTCTTAAATGAAATTTCAATATCATTGTCCATAAACTGTGTGTCTGGATCACCAGTTGTTGTTGACTGCCTTGTCAGCTGCCTCCACTTCTGTTGGTCACATGCAGTAGACTTTCCTCATCTGCCTCTTCTCTTGCCCTCTAACGAACCCTGCAGTATTGTTCTAGAATGGCCGGGAGATGTTGCTACATATCTACCATTGATTTTCCAGCCTTTCACGGCTGTTAATAAGAAGTTTGCATATCCTTGATCGGCTGTGAATTCTCCAAGTTATTTCATCTTAGTTTCTTATAGGCCAGTGAGATGCTATCCATATCTCTCCAGCTAGCATTGTAATTCTACTAAGGCAACCTAGGTGACAGTGAGACTGGTGTATAATAATACAGTTTATCATTCAGCATGGTGCATCTCATACAATGCATAATACACCAGAAGAATAGAGGTACATAGAGCACAAGGTAGACCAAGAACTCGATGGAAAGATAACATCAGAGAAACTCTACAACAGCACGATGTGCCTAGGTATGAGGTGGCCAGAAGAGCAGAAAGCAGAACCTCATATCTCCCTTGACACCCGAAGCAGTAGAAGAGGAAATGAAGATGAAGAAGAATCGTGCATCTCGTGCACTATTTCAACTCAGGGGAAGAAAAACTTAAATAGGAGATCCTGAACTTAAATAAACAACCTGAACTTAAATAGAAGATTAGTAGCGATACCTTGGGGTGGTTGCTGCTTTGGAGGACTGAAGATGCATGGGAACGCCCAGTATGAAGTGATAGCTTGTGTGATAATATAGCATAAGATTATAAACTGAAATTAGAGACTGCTGAAATAAATGGAAATACTGCTGGGTTAAATTATGATTTGTTTTTAGATAAGTAAGAGAGAGTTTGGTTAATTGTTGTATGACAGGCCTTATGAATGCTCCATGTGCAATTTAATGCAGGTATTAAATACTTTATATCTTACATAACATGGCTTGATGAGTACCTCATTATGTTATGTAATGCGAGCTGAGTGCTTCTTACATCACGTATTAGGCTTCATATCTTATACAGCATAAGTTGAATGCTTCCTACCACAAGGTTGATGAGGTCTTCATTGTTTTTAATGCATAGCACTCACTGGTTTTGTGAATGTTTTTTAGTCACATAATGTGGGTTTTGTAAAAATTTCTTATTTCACATAACATAGTTTTTATAATAAAATTTGTAGATGTGTCATAGGTTTTGTAAATGTTTTTTGATGACCCATAACATGGGTTTTATAAATATTTTAGATGCAGCATGGGTTTTGTAAATGTTTTTTTATGTCCCATATCATGGGTTTTATAAACATGTGAGATGCAACATGGGTTTTGTAAATGTTTCTTATGTCCCATAATGTGGGTTTTATAAACATTTTAGGCGTGTCATGGGTTGTGTGAATGTTTCTTATGTCCCATAACATAGGTTTTATAAACATTTTAGATGCAACGTGATTTTTGTAAATGTTTCTTATGTCCCATAACATGGGTTTTATTAACATTTTAGATGCAACATGGTTTTTATAAATGTTTTAGATGTCATATAACATGATTTTTGTACTTTTTGTCACATTATACAAGTTTTGTGAGTGCTTCATGTGTCACATAACTTGGGTTTCTGTAAATATTTTTTCTAATGTCACATAACATGTGTTTTGTGTGCGTGTGTGTATGTGAGGGAGTAGGGGAGCTGGGGGAAGGGTCATGACATGGGCTTTGTAAATGAAAGGTAGAAAAAATGTTTTAGAGATTTGAAAGACAAGACATTTTTAATTCTATTGCATTTATTCATACAATTGTCATTTTAATCTCTTTACAAATGTATTTCTTCATTTTGTGTATATACATTTATCATTTGATTTTGTTACGTTTATCTTAGCTTTCATGTACCTAATGTAGTATTAACTATTGAAAGACAGAAGTTGGATGGTATTTGTTTCACTTTTGTCTGGTTACGGTTGGTTAATATTCTCTTTACAACGTTTAACATATGTAATAAAAGGCATGACAGGTTTCAAAAACCACACAATTGAAGGAAAGCAAGCAGGGGGTGTGTAAAGCATTGTTTTCATGACATTGTTGAGCTGGCATATGATGCTAGATACTGCTGTTTTTTTTTTTTATACGCCTATTGGACTAAACTGCTAACAAGGCTTCCTCTAAATCCTAGGGGGTTGAAATGCCTACACAGTTTCATCTTATCCTCGAGTGACAGCTCCTGGCATATCCCCTGATATTTATTTTCCAGACCCCACGTGCCTCGCCAGACTATTGTCTTGACATAGACCTGACTGCCACGAGATACGAAGATAAGTGCTAATGTGTATTTGTGAAGTACTGTCTAATCTATGTATGTGCTGAAGAAGGCTCCATAGCCGCAACGTTTTGTTTGTGTTTGTTATATTGTGAAGCTCGCTGATATACTTTTTATTCAGCTTTATATCTTTTCCTGATATTTTTTTATAGAAAAAAAAAAGGTGATACCTTATCACAGTGTGTTTAAAATAGGTACCGTTTTTTTTCTTTCTCATGTCCTCTTTTAGCTCTTCGGGTGATGAGAGAGATTTAAAGTTCTGCTTCTTTCTCTTCTGGCAGCCTCGACCATATGACACATCTTGCTGTAGAGTTTCTCTGATGTTATCTTTCCTTTTGGTTGTTGGTCTACCTTGCCTTGACCATATGACATATCTTGCTGTAGAGTTTCTCTGATGTTTTCTTTCCTTTTGGTTGTTGGTCTACCTTGTGTTCTGCCTCCTTTAGCTCTTTTCTCTGGTATTTACCACAGTATCTATTACAATAGCACTTTAAAAAAAAACTCAATGATGCGTGAAAAAAGGTACTGGTACTGAGTAATGTTGCATACCGCCAGACAAATACGCCCTGGTTCTATACCTGATAGATCAGCTAGCACTTGATGGGTGATTTAGTTAACAGTATGCTGGCCACCTTTATTTCCTAAAATGTTTCCTGGTATCACATTTCAAGCAAGGGGCATATAAAGATGTGAGAATTTTTTTAAAAGATTAAAAAAAAATTTTTTCATTTTAAAAAAAAGGATAATGTATTCTCACCTGATGGTGGATCATACATCTAGCCTTCTCGGACAAGGTTGAAATACTCTGAGGACATCTTTTTCTGCTCTTTATTCCCAAATGGAGCATAGGACCTTAACCAACTC